ATAATGTTGCACATTTCACCTGAACAATATCACTCAAATTAGAACCGTCTTGTCCCAAAAGGATGCCAAAAAAAAAGTCCATGCTTTTATTACTTCTAGGTTGAACTTTTGTAATTATCTGGATGCCCAAAACACTTTTCAGTCTTCAGTTGATCCAAAATGCTGCTGCTAGAGTTCTGATGAAAGTTAAAGAGAGATCACATTTCTCCAGTTTTAGCTTCTCTTATTAGCTCGGTCAAATTCAGAATATAATCTCAAGTAATCTAAAAGCTCTCATCAACCACTCTCCATCCTATATTAAAGATCTTGTTGTTCAATATGTTTCCCAACAGCATTTTGCAGGACTCCAGTCAGCCATCAGGTGAAAAGGAGGAACCCAGACCAGTGGTCATTCCGTATGTTGAGGGAGTATCAGAGAAACTGAGACATTTATTTTCTAAACACAACGTCCCAGTGGCTTTTAAACACCAAAATACATTACGGCAAAGACTGGTTCATCCCAAAGATCCAGTCTAACCGGCACAAACAGAGTAATGTTGTGTATGTTGTGCAGTGTCAGGAGGGTGATCAGTCTTACATCGGGGAAACTAAACAGCCACTGGCCAAAAGGATGGACCAGCACAGAAGATCAACATCATCAGGCCAGGACTCTGCGGTCTACACTCATCTCCAGGCCAGCGGTCACTCTTTCAAGGATGAAGATGTTCACATCCTGGACAGAGAGGAACGATGGTTTGAGAGAGGAGTAAAGGAGGCCATCTTTGTGAAAAGAAATCGTCCATCATTAAACAGGGGTGGAGGCCTCTGTGTTCAACTGTCCCCCTCTTACAATGCTGTTATTGCTAGTATCACTCAGCCCCCTGTGAATAACAAGCGGCCACCAGGGTGCTAACAATCAATTGTTAGGCTGATGGTCCTCCTTTTGCATATGAACAACTAGTTTTGGCTGTCAACAACAACATACTGGTTGATCCACTATGAGAAGGTGCTATTTATAAGACTGAGTTTAGTGCAGCTCCTCAGAAGAAGTCTTTTGGATTAAAGACGAAACATTTGAACAAAGAATAATTCATTCAGAGGACCTGACTTAACATTGTTAGAGCTCATAATAAAATGTCAAAAGCTTATGTGGAAAAAAAAAACAAAAAAAAACCCTGTGCTGAAATTACTCAGATGCAAGGAAATGTATAAAGGAGTTTTGTCATAGGTTATATGGCATGACTCCTCCTTGTGACCAGGTCAGTCCTTAGATCATCCAGAAGCCTTAAAATTGCTTTGCTGGTTAGACAATACTGTATGTTTCGATAATATTTGTTTCTGGCATTCCCAAAATGTTTACATGAGCAGAAAAAACTAATTCTCTCCATCACCTTTAATTTTGCCTATGCCTCTTCCTCGCCACAATAACGACAGCCATTGTTACACCCAGCTCTACTGGTTAAAATATGTCTTCCAGACGCGTTGCTAAAAGACACTAAATCAGCCGCTGCATTATGGTTCATGTTTGTTAAATCACATAGCACGCTAAATTAATCTATTTGCATCTAGTCCTCCCAGTATTTTACACATTCAGATTGAAACACCTGATAGTGCATATTCATTAAGGCAAATGTTTACGGAGAGTGGTGGCACAGAGGTTAGAGAAGGTGGGCCTATGATCGGAAGGTCACCGGTTCAACTCCCCGGATTGACAGCATGAAAATGTGGGTGGAAAAGGTGAAACACACCTGCTTCCACTGGCATCCGGCGTAAAAACAATTTCCAAGTCTTCATGCAAGTTAGTTCACTGGGGCGAGCCCTGATGGAGGGAGCAGCCGTAAGAAGAAAATAATAATAATTAAGGCAAATATGTAAAATGAACTGCGCATGCCATTTTGCCCTTTTGACAGAAACAATCCTGGGTGCACCTTGTTAGTAGATCTAATTTCACATATGTTCGCATGCACAAGCAATTTTACACCCGTTTGTGCGTGTGCAAACCTTCAGTAAATCAGCACCTAAGTCAAAGTTTTTAATCTTTTTTTGTGTTATTTCAGCCGCCGGCTGGAAAATTACCTCTTGTGCCTCAAGCACGTTCTTGTGAGTCCGGTTCCTCTATTCCTCAATGTTCACCTCCTGGAGACTCAAACTCATTCTCTCAGCTTGGAAGATAAGATTAGACTTAAATTGCTTCATCTCCCACCTCTGGTCCCACCTGTCACTCTTCTTCAAACTTCTACTTACCTCCTGGAGCTCTACTACTCTCGTCTGGAACCTGGAATCCTCCACTCCTCCTCCAAACATGTAGAAGAGAAACCACACAGAAAGCAAAGGCTGCTTCTACTTTTAAACAAAGATATCTTAATGATTACTGGTACTCATTACTTACCCTATCTCACCCTTTGCAGATATCTTCGGTCTTTACACCCTTCCACTTTTACAAATAAAAAAAACTTACGTTTTGTATTCTGAGTCAGCCAGCCAGTCTTTTAATTCTTGGTGCATCAAACTCTGTATAAAACTACACTGTTGTTCAGCAAAAATGACAACCTGAACCAGCCTTTCTGTGTGTCTGTCTCTTTCTTGTTAAACTCCGGCTAACTGAGGCAGATGGCATCATGATTGCCTTCACACTTAAGGAGACTTCACAAACTGACCGTGATCCAACCATGTTCTAATAGGTCGTGCAGAGCGTAGCAGGGACTTAATCCAGTGTGAAGGGGGCTTTAAGGAACATGCTTCTATCGTTGAGACACGGATCCCTTTTACATAATTGTGCCTTACAGTTCAAGTTATCGTTTGTTCATTATTTGGTAACTAATCTGTGTGTGAACTGGACTCCCCTTGAAATTATTTTTAAATCTTAAGTATTAACTTTCTGGTTCAGTTAGAATGGGAAAAAAAACTCTGATATTCCAGTGACGAATGCTGAAAGCCTTATTACATAAGACAGGAGCTTTTCAATTGAAACATCTTAAAAACATCTTTAGACATTCAAGTCCAAAAATGTCTTTATTAAAGCTGAGCAACATTTGATTTAATAAATGTTTTGGCCTTTTTGAAGACTCTGATTGCATTTATTCCACACCAGGATAAGTTACTGATGAATTCTGATTTAGAAGAACATCCTGTCTCTGATGATGTTCAACGTTGCTCTTTTACACTCAGCTGCCCTAATTGCGTCTTGATGACACCATACAGCTTTCACTGTTTAGTATTTACAGGATTTTATATTGAACTTTAATGCATGGCTACTGTAAATGTTATATAGCCACAAAAAATTAAACGAGTTCACTTATTTACCACTGGTTGTAGTATATATTTTATTTTTCTTTCAGCTGCTTCCTTCTGCATGGGTCGCTACAGTGAGAGAACACATGAAATATTTGGCAAGTGTTTTAAGCCGGTTGCCCTTTCTGAACCAACTTAAGCTCATTCCTACAACCTCAGGGTCACAAAACTGTAACACTGATTACTGAGCTACCACTGCTCATATCTACTGGTCATCTGTCGACTTTGACCACACTAAGGCACTTTAAACAACTGTTAAGTTCACGGCAAAAACCAACGCAGACATTCTCCTGTTTTTAGTATTTTACATCACTTTATAATGTAGCTCTTTTTGTTTTGTTTTTAAATAATTTCTTGTATTTATTTTTCATTTTATATGCTTTTTATATGATTGTCTATTGTTGTCTGTACCTCATATGTGTTCTTTGTCCAACACAGGTCTCTCTTGTAAATGAGTCCTCAAGGCTCAATGAGACTAACCTATTTAAAGGTTCAATGAATCTGTAATATCACTATACGGACCAATTTGTGGTGCAAAGCAACCCTAGAAAAAGCCTTGAAGCCTTTCTATGTTACAGCTTGGGGAGCTCACCAAGTCTAAATAATTTTCAAAAAGCCTTTAGAACTAGGGAGCGCAACATGGCGGTGAACTGGTGAACTGCGTTTTGCTGAGCTGCCGTCGGCCCTGGTGTAAAACGTCCTTTTATAATTTTATCCTCGCTACCTTCGTGCTGGATTTTATCTCTGAGATTGGTGTTGCCACATAACTGACTCGACAGACCTGTGATATGGCCTCTAAGCAATTTTTTTTATTTTTTTTATCGAAAGCAGCGGTGTCTTCCCCTGTGCGGCCTGTCGTCACAGCTGCAGCCTCGGGCCGCCGTGATGGAACAGCAGGTGAATCTGCAGGTGAATCGGCCCCACCTTCACCAAGCTCTGGAGGGACGGACGAGTCGGCTCTGAGGTCAGACATTATGCTTCAATTAAATCTTAAGTCATAGCAATAATTAGGATGGAGATGAGCGGCTCTGAACAAATTATTTTAATTTTATTAAGAGCAAATTGCACGTGGTCCGAGCGGAAATTGCTACTTCCACTGCAGGCCTGAGAGTGGCGTTAAACTAAGTGTTTCAGAGTCTGAGAATGGGCTGTCTTTATGCTCGGATGAGATAGAAAGTCTGCGTGGGACGGTGGTGGAATTAAAAACTGATGGGCTGAAAAAACAACTTGAATCCATGGAGGGAAATATGAAACGTGACAATATTAAGATTATTGAAATTCCTATGTTGGATGGCACATGCACACCTACAGTGATAACAAAAATGTTAATGGAGGTGTTGAAACTGGGCATGTTGCCGCTGACTGATCACATGTACTGGACAGAAGAGGCTCAGATGGGGAATCAAAAAGCCTTTTGTCCAAAAGCAGTTAATGTTCCAAAGTAAACATTTCTTCTAAAGTTGTAGGTTGGCAAATAGAAAAATCTGATTTCCTTAAATGTTTTTTTCTTTCAAAATCAAATGTAACATGTCCATCTTATAAATAGTGACACCCTCATTTTGTAAATGTTAAAATTGTTTTGACATGTCAGCAGTACCAAGACCAGCCATGTTTGAAACTAAAATAGAACACAGATTACAAACAAGGCACCAAGCTGCAAAAGAGACTTTGTTTCCAAGAACATCCAGTAGGGTTTGTTGAAGTATTTGTACGAGTGTATGAGAACTAACCTTGTGATCACACGACGAACTAGATCGTTCTATTTTGCGGGGCCTGGAGGGGGAAGATGGAGAGGAGACACATCTGTGTGGAACCTCTGGCACTGGAATAAACAAAAAGAAAACAAAATCAGTCATTAAAATGCATATTTTTTGTGTATGTGAAAACCTATTGGATTTAAGTCTCAGAATTTATTTTAGCTTACAGATGATTGGATAAGCCTTGTCTCAAATATTTATACAACATGAACATTACTTACCACTGAAACTGATGTTATCATTCAGTGCTGGGGACACCAGCACAGTGTCATATTTCTCTCTCCCTCTCCTCCACTTTTCCTCCCTTTTTTGTTTCCTCCACATCTCCTCCCTCTGCCTCCTCCATTCTTCCTCCCTCTGCCTCACCATTCTGATCTCTTGCTCCACCAGTGATTGGCTGCTGATGGAGCGCAGCTTGAAGAATGGGTTGGATGTGAAAGTGCTCTCCTGCATTTCCACAGATGCAGGCACAGAGCTCAGACAAAACTCAGAAGCACTGCGAATAATCAGGTTTGAGGTTTCCACCACTATGACGTTAGCTGAGGACGCCACGTCAAGGCTGGTGGGCCATTCGGAGAGAGCACCAGTACCGGAGGGGAAGAGGAGGTTTTTGGAGGAACTAGATGAGGTGGGCTCCAGGATGATGACATTATTGGCTGTCAATTCATGATACATTGATTGAGGGAGAGAGGAAGAGCAGGAAGGGGATGGAGAAATGGACAAGGTAGGGGTGCGGCAGGCTGGAGGTCTGGGTGGAGATTGTCCTGTCTGCAATCTAAACACAGAAAATGAAGTGTTAAGCTTTGATGAGCATAAATTACTTTGAAACAAACAAAGATCATGTTCTCTGCAATATGTGTTTATTCAATGACATAGTGAAATATTGCAAATATTTAAAAATGATGTAACTTTCCGTGTCTATAGAAGGCTAAATCGATTTGTGTGACGTGAGGATCAGTTAAAACTAACAAGGGCAATACACACAACCACTCACTGGTAGATACACACTACTCAACCCCCCCCCCCCCCCCCCCGGGGGGATTAATAAAGTATTTATTGATCTATCGATCGATCTACATTCACTAGGGTTATGCATCTAAGGTCTGTGGTCGAATATGATGTATATTTGAATTCACTGTCAATATTTTCTTTATTAAAGATACAAGAGCAGCAAAAACAAATACAATGCAGTTCAGTCTGTAACAGTTGATGCCAGAGGCTTCCATCCACTCTGTAGAAGACAGAACCATTTATTCCTCACTGTCTGACAAGAAATCAGGCTGAACCTTTCATGTTTTAGGCCAATGACGATTCACACAATTAATTTTATTTGCTAATTTTTTTTTCTATAGAAAAGTATTTAAGTGGATTTGTTTTGTTGCTTTTTTTATCACCAGTTTAGATTCATTTTCTTAGCATTTAGAAGCACTATGTCTTGAATCGAACACGGTGAGTATCCTTCCTCAAACTCCCCACTAGTGTGCTGGAACAAGATAAAACTGAGCCCCAATTCACAATACAATTTGGCCTCTAATCATGATCTGCTTTAATTTTATTTGTTCTATGATTCGATTCAACCTAGACTTATCTTACAAGTTAACATTTGACTGGGACCCTGTGTACATAATTTCGTTCCACTACATGTACCACATGTGGTGCGAATGACAATAAAGAATCTCTGACTCTGACACTGACATTTAATTTCTGTATGCTTTTAGTTATGATACAATTCAGCCTTTAATGATGATTCAATCCAGCCTTGCTTAGTTCAATATTTATTCAAGATACAATTTGACCTTTACTAATGTGTATTTATTTACAATACAAATCATTTTTTTTATAAAGTGATAACTCAGCATTACTGTAAGTCAAAATATAAATTTGGCTTTAATCTACAACACAGTTTGATATTAATGACTTCATCGTTTAAATATGATCATGTTTTCATTATTGGGGACTTTAATTTGCATGTGTGCTGTCATGAGAAGCCCTTGGTTAAGGACTTTTTAGATCTATTGGACTCATTTAATCTAACACAGCATGTAAACGGTCCCACCCAAGAGCGTGGACATACACTGGACCTTGTTTGACGTGTGATGTGACTGTTAGTAATCTTGAAATCTGTGACAATGTTTTTTCAGACCACATGCCAGTCCCGTTTGAGTTCACCCTCCCCTGTCTAATTCCTAAACTGTGCGCTCCTGCACGTCGCAGCCGGACATTTAACCACTTCACTGCCACATGTTTCACAGATGTTTATAACTCTGAAATGATAATTCAGCCCCCGGTGTTTCTCACCCCCACTGAGGAGCTGACATCCCAGTTCAACTCTGTCTGCTTAAAGACTCTGGATCATATCACTCCTGTTATATCAAACTAGAAAATCAAAACTCAGAGCAGAACCTTGGTTGAATTATGTCACCAAGGCTGTTAGGTAGCAGTGCAGGAGGGCGGAGTGCAAATGGAAGAGAGACAGGCTGCAGTTTTCTTTTCAAATACTAAAAGAGAATTGGTGTCATTGTCAGAAAACAGTAAAAGCTGCTAAATTTAAATACTTTTATGATCTCATTACCTCAAACTCTCACAACCCACGTGTCCTCTTTTCTACCCTAAACTCTGTTCTCCACCTCACTGAACCATCACCTCTGGAAGCCTCGACTGAGCTGTGTGGCAACTTCCTAAATTTCTTTTTAGAACAAATTGCGACCACCCGGACTCTCATTTCCCCTCCAACTCATGACCCATCCATCCCACCTCAATCTGTAGCTCCATTTGACCATTTTGAACCCATCACTCTGTCTTCTCTAGAGCAGGTCATGTGCAGATTGAAACCTTCTGGTTCCCCCTTTGATGTGGTCCCCCTCGACTAGTAAGGAGGTTTTTCCTACTCTAGGTCCGTCCACACTTGCTATTGTGAATAGCAGTTTATCCACTGGTGTGGTGAAAAAAACCTTTAAACATGCTGCTGTTCAACCTCTCCTGAAAAAAAAAAAAAAAACTAACCTTGACCCCTCAGTCGTATCCAACTTCCGGCCTGTCTCCAGACTCCCATTTGTTTCTAAACTACTGGAGAAAATAGTTGAGTCCCAGTTGAAGTGCTTCCTGGAGGATCACGCTATCCTACAGCAATTCCAATCTGGCTTTAAACCTCTCCATAGCACTGAAACTGCCCTACTGAAGGTTTTTAATGACATCTTCTTATCCACAGACACTGGTGATTCTGTGCTGCTTGTCCTATTGGACCTTACATCTGCTTTTGACATAATCAGTCATGAGATCCTCATTGCTAGGTTGGAGCAGTGGGTGGGCATCACAGGGTCAGCCCTCAGTTGGTTCAGATCCTACCTCGCTGACAGATCCTTTTGTGTTTCCATCAAAGATTTTAGTTCTGCACCGACAGACCTTAAATGGGGGGTTCCACAGGGGCCCATCCTGGGTCCCCTCCTATTCTCTTTATACCTGCTTCCACTTGGTGCTATTTTCTGGAAACACGACATGCCCTTTCACATCTACGCTGATGACTGTCAAATTTACTTCCCCCTAAGACACAATGGTACATGCTCTATTCAACCTCTGCTCGACTGCCTGGCTGACATCAGGGACTGGATGGCTTTAAATTTCTTAAGTTTCAATGAAAAGAAGTCTGAAGTCATGTTGTTCCCTCCCAACGACACAATCACGAACCACTGCATTGACCTTTCCGCTCTAGCCCTGTCAGAAAAACAAAGAGTCACAAATCTGGGATTAATAATGACCCCTTCCCTGAAACGTAACAATCATGTAAACATGATTGTAAAATCATGCTTCTTCCGACTGAGGCGGCTGTCTAAACTGAAGTCCATTTTGTCCAAAAATAACCTGGAGACAGTAATACATGCATTCATTACATCTAGGCTTGGTTACTGCAATTCACTCTGTTTGGTATCAGTCAGACCTCCATTGCACGATTACAACTGCTCCAGAATGCAGCAGCCCAATTTTTAACCAGTACAGGCAAAAGAGAGCACATTACACCAATCTCAGCCTCCCTGCACTGGCTACTGGTTCACCTTCAAATCCAGTTCAAAATACTACTGCATGCCTAAAAATCGCTGAACAGTCCCCCCATCTCTCTGATCTGCTACAACCGTATGTCCCACCACGTTCTCTGATCTCTGAGGTCAGTGGACCAGTTACTTCTCACAGTTCCAGGAACTCATCTTAAGCTCAGAGGTGACAGGGCCTTCTCTGTAGCAGGACCAAGACTATGGAACGAGTTACCTCTGCTTGTCAGACAGGCCCCCTCCCTCTCAGTTTTCAAATCCCGTTTAAAAACCCACTACTATTCCATAGCTTTCAACACCAGATGATCTGTGTTTTGAGCCTGTATGCTTCACACAGGTTAGTTGTTATATTTATTATCTGCAACGTTTTTATGTCTATATTCTGATTTAATTCATTTTGTATTTTGCTTTGTGTGTTACTTGTTGTTCTGTCTGTACAGCACTTTGGTTGGCCTTGTCGCTGTTTTAAGTGCTCTATAAATAAAATGGTATGGTATAGTATGGTAATCACAATACAGTTAGACTTTTAATCACAATACAATTTGGCCTTAAGTTAAGAAACAAATTGATTTAAATTCAAGATATGTTTCAGTTTGTAATACATGATGCAATTCAAATACCTCTCTAGGTATGTGGTGAAAAGCATCTCTGTTGAACATTTGTTTAAAAAGAACAAACTTGGCACCAAGTTCAAATGGTGATTTGCCATTTTTAAACCTGTAGCAGAGTTTATGGTTAAACTTGAACTTTCCCCACTTGGAATAGGTTAACTTAGAGTTTATGAAATAACTTGGAGTCAGTTGAACTTAATTTCTGGAACTTTCAGTCCCCCCAATCTTCCTTGGTCTTGTTTTAATATATTTGTCTTGTTTTTCTTACTGGGGTATTGTAAGGCCCTGTGCAATCATTCCCCTCTCCCTGCGGTGCCGCTCCTCTCTCTCTAGAGTCAGCCGAATCTCCTTTTCCACGGCACTCTCTGGTTCCTCCAGGGGGCTGCAATACAAAAAATCTTCTGATCCTGAGTCCTCTGAACTGGGGGGCAGGGTAGATGATACAGGTGGTTCCTTGGACACGTGAGGTTGAATTTCCCTTGGATGAGACAGGAGGAAATCCCATTAAAGTTAGAATTTGCCAATCAATCAATTTGTCAATGTAAGCACTGACACGTGAGGAAAACACATACAGATTAAAAAGGAGGAAAACCAATTTTATATATCAGACAAACATAATAAAATTTACCAGATTCTAAATGAGCAATATGCAACCTACTATATAAGACAAACAACACAACACATTACAATGTCATTGTCATTTGTATCCGAGTACTCATAGACCTGTGGGGTTTCTGGGTTTTGTCCTGTTGTTTCTGTATCCTTGTGTTTCATGCACTCCCCAGTGTTCCCCTTCCTTGTAGTTCAGCTCCTGTCTCACCTGTGTCTAATCCTAATCACTCCAAATATTTGTCATTCTCTCTCGTTAGCATCTGTATTTATTCAGCGTACTTGTGTCTTTTCATTTGTCTGTGGACAATCCTGTGAAGGCTTCATGTTCTGTCTCCCTCTGTGTCTCCTCATCTACCCTTAAAAAGTCCGTTTTGCTGCCCTGTCAGCTTTTGTTTCATTTATGTAAATAAATTGAAATCATTTACTTTTGGAGTTTCCCGTCGTCTGCCTGCATGTGGGTTCAACTACACTAAAGTAACAGATCATAAGACCCAATGCTGGTGCTGAAACATGAGAGGCTGAGGACTTGAAATCATTAGAATGTGAGAATAACAAAAAGCCCAAAATACCAAGTTTGTGTCTTGCCCATAGCGTTAAGTCCTATGTGAGTCACATCAAGTGAAAGGTCACAACCTGCACCACGTACGGACAGTCTACAGAGACAAATCTGGCCAAATTGTGCTTGAAACTTTAGCATCACTTGTTGTTTTTAGCCCTGTAGAAGGTTGTAGACTGGCCATGGAGACCATTAGTCCTGCACATTCAAATTCAAAAGGTTTTGTGAAAAATTAAGAATGCATATGGAATATACAGAACCTGTACTTTTTATGTACGCATGAGCTGTCAGGCACACGAATAGAAGAAGTTTTGAGATGACAGTGAGATGAAAGACATGCACGGTCATTGCACAAGTCCTGTTTTTGTTGTAGCTGCTCCCCTCTGCGGTGGTCTCTACAGTGAGCAAAATTGCACAAGAGAAATGACAATTGTTTTACACCAGATGCCCTTCCTGATGCAACCTGGGCTCAACCTGGCAGCAACAGGATTACAAGACTCACCAAGTTATTGTTGTCTTACTTCAAAAGGGCTGTATACTTGTTTTTTGTGTAGCTCATAAATCAGAAGTATATCTGAATTTCTAACCTTATAAGTGACAAGCATACCTCATAAGGGACCCCCAACCACCACATGGGTACTCTTTGTGAACATAGGTGGGATGGGACATGCTGCAGACACACTGTAGCCTCTTCTTATACCTTCTGCTTACACTGCATCACACACACGTTAGGAGTGATTGTCATGTGCTAACCACTTGTGTCACAAGTGCAGCCTGTACGCTTGGCACAAAAAACTGGTTAACTACAGGTCACATACACCCCACATGCACTATACATACTAAACAGGTGCATCACACATACATTTTCAATGAGCTGATGGCACATTATTTTTCCACACTTCAAGCAGGTTAGGTATGCATCATTGATAAGCTCAATGTCCATACTATTTCTAAAACTTTCCATTCAGTGATTATTACCAAACCATACCATTTTATTTATAGAGCACTTAAAACAGCTACAAGGCCAACCAAAGTGCTGTACAGACAGAACAACAGACAACACAAGAAGCAATATACAAAATGAAGTAAATCAAAAATATAGACATAAAAACGATGCAGATAATAAATATGATGACAAACCAGTGTGGAGCATACAGGTTCAAACCACAGATCCTCTGGTGTTGAAAGCTACTGAATAGTAGTGAGTTTTTAAATGGGATTTGAAAACCGAGAGGGAGGGGGCCTGTCAGACAAGCAGAGGTAACTCGTTCCAAAGTCTTGGTCCTGCTACAGAGAAGACCCTGTCACCTCTGCGCTTAAGACGAGTTCCTGGAACTGTGAGGAGCAACTGGTCCGCTGACCTCAGGGAATGTGGAGGGACATACGGTTGTAGCAGATGAGAGGGGGGACGAAACTGTTCAGTGATTTGTAGACATACAGGAGTATTTTGAACTGGATTAGAAGGTGAACTGGTAGCCAGTGCAGTGAGGCCAAAACTGGTGTAATGTGCTCTCTTTTGCCTGCACTGGTTAAAAATCAGGCTGCTGCATTCTGGACCAGTTGTAGTTGTGCAATGGAGGTCTGACTGACACCAAACAGGAGTGAATTGCAGTAATCAAACCTAGATGTAATGAATGCATGTATTACTGTCTCCAGGTAATATTTGGACAATATGGGCTTCAGTTTAGACAGCCGCCTCAGTTGGAAGAAACATGATTTAACAATCATGTAAACATGATTGTTAAGTTTCAGGGAAGGGTCTATTATCACACCCAGATTAGTGACTCTGTTTTTCTGACAAGGTTAGAGTGGAAAGGTTGAAGCAGTGTTTTGTGATTGTGTCATTTGGAGGGAACAACATGACTTCAGACTTCTTTTCATTGAAACTTAAGAAGTTTAAAGCCATCCAGTCCCTGATGTCAGCCAGGCAGTCGAGCAGAGGTTGAATAGAGCATGTACCATTGTGTCTTAGGGGGAAGTAAATTTGACAGTCATTGGCGTAGAAGTGAAAGGGTATGTTGTGTTTCTGGAAAATAGCACCAAGTGGCAGCATGTATAGAGAGAATAGGAGGGGACCCAGAATGGACCCCTGCGGAACTCCCCATTTAAGCTCTGTCGCTGCCGAACTAAAGACCAAGACCCTGAGGCCCATTTGTTAGCTATCAATCTTTGTGACCCATTACATGCCAAAACACAGTAAATTGTTAGCTTGGCTTTAGTTAAAATATGTTTTGTCTCCCTATCTTATTAAGAGTGCAGTCATGGAGTGAAAGACCGAGGTCAGTGGTTACCATAGTAAGAAAAAAAGAGTCACTGACAGTTGCGTGACTGCAGTATTTCTTTCTTTCTTTCTTTTACACTTTTGCAGTTCCTACGTAAATATGTAGACATTTTGTTAATTTTGATCCAAGAAGATTTTTGAGAAGGGCAGCATGGCTTTTTACCCAAGGTGAAAAATTGGGGCGGCACAAGTGCTCAAAAAATATTAATTATGTGATTTGATTGACATTTAAGCAAGTTTTACTTACTTGCAATGTTCCTCCAGTTAGGGGAGTGGGTGCTCCCGTGTTGTGCAATATCTGCTGCTGAGAATGTACTACATACAAAACATTAAATATTAAAATGTGTGTTATATTTGATTAGTGTATACATTTAATTTGCATATTGTTCCATATGCAATTGTTTTTACATGGAAAATCACTACGTATTTCTTGTTCAAACCGAGGAAAGATGTGCAATTTGTTTTACCAACAATTGTAAACTTCTGTCTTTTATGTTATCCCTTTTCAGAGAAGAGCCGATTTATCTCACGGGTTAATTACATCTTTAATCTTGTTTGTCAGACATTAAACAGAATTGTAACAGCATGAGGTGATGCAGCAGTATTTTTGCCTAACTGAAGTGGGTGTCTTTGGGCCAGTATCACTGTCTTTCTATGCATAGACAAGAAACACCTGAACACACGCTAAAATGCTTAGAAACTGAGTAATAAGGCATCATCTGCTTCAGTGCATGTAACTCTTTAATCTCAGGTAAAATTATTTTATTTAAAAGACTTTCCCTAGGTGATAAAATTAGCTTCAAACTAGAGTGTGGAAACTATTACATTCATATTCTTTAGTTGATCCTGTAGCAGAGGTTCAATATGAGCATCCCTTATTTGACCATTAGAGTTCATATGATAAATGTTTTTGATTGATTGATTTAATTAGTTGGTTGTTTTGTTTTCATAACTGTTTTTATTCCAAATTCCTATCAATCTTATTTCTGGGGGCTCTCTAGTGTATAAATGAATATGGGTACAACTTCCTGTCAGACACAGGAAGTAGCAGTAAGAATTGGTTAACCATGGTAGTGGAGCATGGGCCGAGGTTTATTTGGAAATAATTTTCATTCAGTTTAGCAGATAAAACTGTTGTTGTTTTGTTCACATTTATTTAACAACCATAAAGTTTACGAAAATAGCCGTGCTGAGTTCAGGTGTCTGTTGTGCTGTTCACGGCTGTAGAACAACCAGACAAATCAGTGGCTACAACAACAGAGTTTTGAAGAAGGACCCAAAACAAAAGGAGTGTTCCAGTGAAAAGAGCTATAGTTTCATCTTCTACCTACAGATGAGGAATTAAGAAGAATGTGGCTGAAAAAATATGAACTTGAAGAGACCACCCAAAACTCTGAATGTGAGTTCATTTCACTTTGTTGACAAACGTCCGATGGAGGAAAATCTGCATCCTACTTTGTGTCTGGACGACAATAAACCACCGGAGAAGAGACGCCGGATCCTCAGAAGGATTGAAAACAGTGACGAGAACATCAGGTCTGATTTCAAGTGTATGGAGGACACAGCTTTATAATATTTGTTCATCTTCAGTTTTATGATTTTCTCTGTAATGAACCCAAGCTCAGTGATGGAGGACTTTAATGCTTTGTCTGGACTCTGTGTCTGATTTAAGGTCAATAAGATTGTGTCCCACCTCTTTTTACAAAACACCACGACCTTATTACTGTAGGTACTGATACACCTCTGATCTTTTCAGGTTGTTCATCGCTTCACCATCGGATGAACAGAGTCAGTGAAGTAGCTAAATCTGCTAGATGTACACTTTAGCCACTTCTTCAGGTCGTCTTCCATCCCTTGTCCTCAGCAGGTATGATTACATCATCCTGTTTGAGCTCTGACAGGTGGTGTTCCTACATGTTTAAATTAAATCCACAATGCTTGAAGAAACTATATTTGCTTGTACTGTTTACACATAAACGCTGGTTCTGGTCCGTGCAGGAAGTCACGCCCATAATTCACGCAAGGCACCATGGGGACTAGGAATAAGGTGGTTTGGTCTCTATCAAAAAAGTAGATTGGTGATGTGATATCAAGCAGAAGCTGAAGGCACCCTTCAACATTTATACAAGTTTGCTCGCTGTAGCAACCCTTGCACGAGGGAGCAACCATAGAAAAATTGATGACTTCCAGTTTTGTAAATAATGTTTATAACTGAAATATAACTGAATTTGTAGGTTTCAATGTGCACTCTGCATTCTGCTTGGCCTTAAGAGAAAACCTTAAGTCCTAAAGCAGTGAGACACTCTACAAAATAAGATAAAACTATGTTTTGATGTATAACTTTTTTTACTGTGGGAGTAAGAATAGTTTGATTGAAAACAATATGAATATTTTACAGAATTTAAATGAAGTCCAACTTTATGTGATCCATTCAATTAATTATATTTCTATTGGAAATTATGTTAGACCAATAGAGCTTCCAAAAAGACTGGGTTTCTTCAAGAGTTTTAACAAAACCCCACTAATCTCCACTATTCCATTTTCTTCTACTTGCTGATAAAGAAGACATTATAAATGATGCCAGTATAAACCCTACCTGTGTTTGAGGCGGGGGCTGCGAGTAGGAGGGTATAATGCAGAGTGGGTGCCCTGAAAGCTCCCCTGAGTTCTGAGTCCTGGCTTGGGGATGGGCTGACCTTTGATACCCTCCTCCATCTTCTTCCACTGCTGGCGAGCCAACAGAAAATCCAAATGTTCAGTGGAGACGTTTTCACTGATGATCTCCTGTTGCACACAGAAATCCAAAGGAATCTGACAATACAACAAATACAATCATGTTTAGCTGCACGGTGGAGCAACTGGTAGAGCTGCTGCCTCTCAGCGAGCAGGTCCCTGGTTCAAACCCCGGTCCAGGGGCCTTTCTGGGTGGAGTTTGCATGTTCACTCCGTGCATGCGTGGGTTTTCTCCGGGTACTCCGGTTTCCTCCCACAGACCAAAAACATGCATGTTAGGCTGACTGGTAACTCTAAATTGTCCATAGGTGTGAGTGAGAAAGTGAATGGTTGTTTCTCGTTTGTCTCTGTGTGTCCCTGTGATGGACTTGCGACCCGTCCAGGGTGTACCCCACCCCTCGCACAGTGATTGCTGGACATGGGCACCGGCGACCCCCGTGACCCAAAATGGAACAAGCGGGTAAAGAAAATGGATGGATGGATGGACAATCATGTTTACAAAACAAAACTTATAAAAAGTTAACTATGTTTTCAAAATACACACCATAAAAAATATAGCTGATCATACTTGAAAAGAGGAAGAATATTTATAATACAAGATATATTATGTGGTGTGTTTTTAATCGATGTGCAACATGGTTGAAGTATTTTGAGTTCCTATATTCAAAAGGCTTTCTCAGAGTCAGAGTCAGAGTCAGAGTCAGAGTTTCTTTATTGTCATTCGCACCTCATGTGGTACATGTGGTGGAGCGAAATTATGTACGCAGGGTCCCAGTTACATCCAACAATAAAATGTATAAGAAAAACAGTAATGACATCTAAGATATGAACTAAGAAAAACATCAACTAAATATACACTAAGCACTCATAACATAAAACATTGAACATCAGCACGAACATGAACATGAGTCTGTGAGCAGATGTGCACGCATGAACACATCAACATTGAAACAGATCAGCAGCAACATGAAACAGATCAGCAGCAACATGATATGGTTTTTCACAGTGATTATTCTAGTTAGAGAATTTCTGCTACTCATCAAGAGACAGGTCAGGGCCTCTTCTCCTTATCTACCAAGTTCTCTATAGTCTAGGCCACACATCTCCAGATACCACTGTGTGTGCAGTTCAGGTATTCCCTCTTCAACCATCAGTGGGACTCCAGTCCAGATATCACCTCCAATCCAAGCCTCACCTTCCCTGCTACCAGCTCGCCTCCAGTCTCCTCCAGGCCTCGCCTCCAGTCCTGGATCCTTTCCACTGTTACTACCAGCTTGCCTGCATTCCAGGCCTCAACATTTTTCCAGGCCCCATTTCTCCTTCTAACAGTTTAAATTAAGTCCAGATTAGAGCTGTCATTTCTAACCCGAGCCCTAAACCTGGCCCCACCTGACCTGAATTTTGGCCGGGCCATGATAATGTGCTGAATGGGCAGGCCGGGTTGATGTCAGGCTTTAGATTGGGCCAGCGGATCAGTCACAATCCAATTATATGATAACATGGCCTGCCATAATATCACCAGCCGCATGCGGCTAACCGGCCTTGAAAGAGATAAAAAGTTCAGTTAAGCTTCAGATGGGACTATACTGCCAAGAAATAATCCATTGCCCAAATGGATGTTCAGCTGCTGCACTCAGTGGACGCACGCAGCCGACGACCACAGACATGTCAGAGCGGTCCATGTCTGAGTAATGCAGAAGAATTCAGGCAGAAACAGGGTTTAAATACTCTTTGACAGCCCTGAAAGGACAAACACCCCCTCAGCTCCGATCTTCTGCCCCTTTTATTCAGCCGCACATCCCCGACCAAGCTGAGAACTTGATTTTTTTAATTAAAAGCTTTGTGTGACAAATGCTATGCTAAAGAAAGAGCTCAAACCACACCAAGCATCTGCCATTTTGAGAACTGAAAAACAGGAATGAGAGACAGCCCATGTCACGTCAAAGGGCATCCCTCCCATTTTTCTTAAAGAGACGTGCTGCTCGCTCCCTCACTAGCCATCCTTCAGTACAAACCATTTTATACTGCCATCCGATGGTCAAAAAAATGTACTACACACAAAATTAACCAACATTTCTTCTTAAATTTGACAATAATTATTAATTATTGTCACATTTCAAACAATATTATAGTTTATCACAATAATTTATGACAATTAATTGCCCATCAAAATTTGTTATTGTGACAGGCCTAAGTCTAGGCCTCATTTCCCTAGGTACCAGTTTAACACCAATCCGGGCATCAACTCTAATCCAAGCATCACTTCTCCAGCTATCCTCACAGATAAGGGACACTCTTTTGAGGACCAAAATGTGCACATTTTGGACCAAGAACACAGATGGTTTGAGAGGGGGGTGAAGGAAGCAATTTATGTAAAAAGAGAAAAGCCGTCTCTTAACAGAGGAGGAGGCGGCCTCAGATTTCCACTTTCAAAAACATATAATGCAACTTTAAGACAGATTCCCAGCCGGTTTTCACACCTGATGGGAACAGAGGGGCCTCGTCTGTGAATTAGAGTAACAAAGACTTTAAGAAACCCCTACTGTTAAGGTGTTTAGGTGTGAATTGCCAATCTACATATGTATGTGTGTCTTATCTCACTCAGCCTTATAACCTGAATATCTCACTCACTGCTGTTTGAATTGAGAAAGCTCCTTGGCTGAGGAGCGAAACGTCTTCTGTTGCAAATAAAGTCCAGTTGTTTTTGTATTGAACGCTTTTTGAATTCATCATGTCCTGGATGACTAAGAATCTTCACCAGCATATTCCCCAGCTATCGGCTTGTTTGGAGTCCAAACCTTATGTTTCCTGCTAACAGCTTAACTCCAGTTTGAGCCTTACCTACTCTGGTACCAACTGAACTCCTGTCCAGGCTCCTTTCTAGCTTCCAAAATCTCAGAATACCTCACTCGGTGAAAGGGGAACTGATTAACCTTTCTGGAGCCAAGCCTGAGGGGGTAGCTTCCTACAACTGCCTTGTGGTTAGGCCTTAGTTCTTGGTGGTTGGCTAGGCTAAACCTAAAAAAAAAATAAAGAAAAGAAAACCCATGTCCCCACAGACAAGTCAGATGCTGGAAGAGCCATCAAGGTCAGGTGCTCTGCAAGCCAAGTGACAAGGAATTGTTGGTAACTGGCCATGTTGATTCCTAGTAACACAGACTGGCTCTAGATACAAAGAATGCCACCTTACTGACAGACCAACAATGATTTTAGCCTTATTAGGGTATAACAAATGGTGCAATAAGCAGAGAGCATGTATTTAGAGGCAGAGAGGATTTTCTGGCCCTGATGAGGGCTGACTCATCAGCTGTTTTAGGCTTCCAAGGGCAGTCCTTCTGAAACTGTGCTTGGAGCTGCGGCTGATCTTGGAGCATGACAAAGTGAGGAACCGTGTGCTGCCAGTACACATACAGCTGCTGTCCACACTGGGATTCCTAAAGCAACAGGAGCATTCCAGAGGAAGCTGGTAGATCAATCAGGGCTTTGCCAGTCCACCCAGAGCCAAACCATGCCAATTGTGTGGGATGGAATTATACATATGTCAACCAGGTACATCAAATTCCATACAATGCAGTTGAACAGGCCAACATTAAAACACAATCTGTAGCATCAGCTGTTTTTCCTAATGTAATCAGAGCTATTGACTATACGCATATTGCTATAAAAGCATCATCACAGGATGAATATGTTTATGTTAAAATGAAGTATTTTCATTCAGTGAATGTGCAAATTAAATGAGATGCAGAAAAAATACTAAGCAACATTGTGGCGAGGTGGCCTGGTTCAACGCACGATTCATTAATTCTAATGAACAGCATGGTTAGTAACCGACTACAAGCTGGTGCGATGCGGGATGGTTGGCTTCTTGGTGAGTAAATTCATTTAATTGCCCTAATATATCTGACTATTTTTCTTAATTTCTGTTGGTGTGCACTGCTCTGACCCTACAGTATTTACAGCTTTGAACACATTGGCCCACTCACTCCTCTTGCACTTGGCACTAATGCCAGAAGACAGCGTGCCAAATAGAATGTTTTTATGTGCTTCTACCTCATTTAGAAGTGTCTCCAACTCCATGAAGTTTCTCTTTTCTCGCATGTAGACATACTTTTTGATAGAGCAGAGAGGAGATTCCTCAGGTGTAGAGCATATGTAAATCTATTTGCATATTTAAATGGAGGCGTGTCAAGGGAAGAGTCTGGTTTTTACTCGTGCGTTCAATTCCACATTGATTGGGATGTACAAAGGAAGTGTGCTTGGATTCATGTGTATCATCATGTCATACATTTGGATTTATTTGTATGTACACTGTTTTCTCGATTGAAACATGTCATGTTTCAGTAGGAAATTCATGCAAGTCTTTGTACATGAGGCCACAGGTGTCTCAGAGGATTCCTGAAACTGCTGACAGGAATAGGATTGTCCAAAGGACTGAAGCTTTTGTGGTTGCAGAAGCAAAATTTATTCTTAAGAGAATTTCAAGAAACCATGGGGAAGGAAATTTGTTTGATTCCAAGAAGGCTCTGGCATATCATTCAGTGATCCAGAAGAAATAAGTGAGCCATATTCTGAACTGATTTAATTGGTGGATGGAAAAAGGGACACTTTTTGCATCTCTTTAATCTAATCACCATGTCCACTTTTGAGGAGGCAGACTGTAAAAACTCAAAGGGAAAGTGAGTCACTGAAGTATTTTAAATGCTTCTTTGTAGCAGCCCACCAGGAGTGTCAAAATCTACCCTGAGATGCTGAAGTTCCTGGACATTGTAGGAGCCCTGCAATCATTATAGCTATGCCTCGTCAATGTCAAATGGAGGACAACACCTGTGGAGTGGCAGTACCTAGATGATAATCCCCATGTGTAAAAAGTGGGACAGGGGTGTGTCTCTCTCAAAACATTGAGAACTCACACCTCTCACCCACCAGGAAAGTCTAATCTTGGTGGGTGCAGAGTAGAGCTGTTGTTCCTCTTCATCAAAAGGAGCCAGCTGAAGTGGTTCAGGCTTCTCATTATGGTGCCTCCTGGACACTACCCTCTTGAGTTTTTGTAGGCATGTCCCACTGAGACCTGGGAACAGAACCAGAACTCACTAGACTAGGCATTAGGTATTCCCTCTGGCCTAGGAACACCTTGGGATTCCCCAGGAGCAGCTGGAGAATGTTGTAGAGAAAATTAGATCTAGGTTTCCCTCCCTGACCTTTGGCTATTGCAATCTGAGTCTAAAGGACTGTCTCCCAAGCTTTTATCAACATGTGGCGATTCCGACACGTGGAGACCACACGCTGGACCGTGTTTACACGAACGTAAAAGATGCATACAAAGCCAAACCCCGCCCCCACCTAGGACTGTCAGACCACATCTCAATCTTCCTGGCTCCTGCTTACATGCCCCCGCTGAGACGTTCCAGACCGGTACAAAAGAAAGTTAAATGCTGGATCCAGGACAGTGGCCCCATACTGAGAGATTGTTTTGACCAAATAGACTGTCAGGTTTTCAGAGAAGCTGCTGAAAATGGAGGTTCGCTTGATCTTGACCAATACACATCCTCAGTTCTGGGTTACATTAGTACATGTACTGAAACCGTCTCCACTATCAGAAATGTTAAAAGCTACCCAAACAGAAAACCTTGGCTGAATGCAGAGGTGCGTACCCTGCTGGAAGCCAGGAACACTGCCTTCAGGTCTGGAAACTCAGAGGAGCTGAGTAGGACAAGAAAAGAGCTGGTTGCTGGTATTAAGAGGGCCAAGGCCACATACACAAAGAGGATCGAGGGTCAATTCATCTCACAAGACCCTCGGAGCATGTGGAGGGGCATAAAGTGCATAACAGATTATAAAGGAAGGAGCGAACAATGCCCCAAAAACCCATCTCTGCCTGATGCCCTCAACAGGTTCTATGCACGCTTTGAAGACCCGAACAGACCATCCAGCACCAGACTCACCTCACCACCGGATGAAGAGCATATCAGCGTGACCTCAGCAGAAGTAAGGAGTACCTTCAGGAGGATTAATCTGCACAAAGCAACTGGCCCAGACAACATCCCCGGAAAAGTGTTGAAAGAATGTGCTGATCAGCTCTGTGAGGTGCTGGCAGACATCTTTAACACCTCACTTACCCTGGAGACAGTTCCCACCTGCCAGAAGACTGCCACCATCATCCCAGTCCCAAAAAGCTCTACAGTGACTGGTCTGAATGACTATCGGCCAGTGGCCCTCACCCCAATAGTCGCTAAATACTTCGAAAAACTGGTCATGACTCACATCAAAACAACCATCAACATCAACGAGGACCCTCATCAGTATGCATACCGTGAGAACCAATCAACAGAGGATGCAATCTCCTCTGTGGTCCACACTGTGCTCAACCACCTGGAGCAGAAAAACTTACGTCCGTATGCTCTTTGTGGACTTCACATCCGCCTTCAACACCATGATCCCCCAAACCCTGATGGACAAACTATCCACACTAGGACTAAGCCCCTCCATTTGCAACTGGGTACTAGACTTTTTAACAAACAGACCACAGTTAGTGAGGATCCACAACCTCTCCTCCTCCACCATAACCCTCAGCACTGGCTCTCCTCAGGGATGTGTGTTGAGCCCCCTCCTGTTTACTCTGCTCACGTATGATTGTGCAGCTACCCATCCAGGCTGTCACATTGTAAAGTTTGCAGATGATACAGCGGTGGTGGGATGCATCACAAACAATGATGAGTCCAGCTACAGGCAAGAGGTGGAACACCTGGAGAGCTGGTGCAGAGAGAATAACCTTCACATCAATGTGAAGAAGACAAAGGAGATGATTGTGGACTTCAGAAGGAACAAAAACATCTACGCCCCCTGAACATAAGAGGATCTGCGGTGGAAGTGGTCTCCAGCTACAAGTACTTGGGTGTACACATGAATGACAACCTCAGCTGGAGCAACAACACCACCAGCCTGATCAAGAAAGCTCATCAGAGACTCTACTTCCTCAGACGGCTGAGGCGAGCTGGTCTGGGAAGCTCAGTCCTCACCTCCTTCTACAGGTGTGCAGTGGAGAGCATCCTGTGCTCCAGCATCAACGTGTGGCATGGAGGCTGCACAGCTGCAGAAAGAAAAGCTTTGCAGAGAGTGGTGAAGGCTGCACAGAAGATGTTGGAGTCAGTCTCCCCACCATCACAGACATCTACACCTCCAGATGCAGGAAGAGGGCCACCTGCATCATGAAGGACCCCACCCACCCAGCACACACACTTTTTGCCCCACTCCCCTCAGGAAGGAGGTTAAGGAGCATTAAGTGTAGAACCACTAGACTGAGGAACAGCTTCTACCCTGAGGCTGTTAGACTCATGAATCTCTAACTAGAATAATCACTGTGAAAAACCATATCATGTTGCTGCT